TCTGCATGGATCAGAGGCAAAGAGCTGAGTTTGACTTTATGGCCAGCTGCCCTGAACCGAGTTCTGTCCTGCAGACCATCTACTCCTATAAATAACATCAGCCTTGTCACCTATAAAGGATCCATCACCCAGGCCACAAACATTCATGGCCATTCCAAAATTCAGAAAATATTTACAGATTTCTGGCAAACAGGTCTGGCACAAGATGGAGACTTGAAGTCACAGGAAGCTATTTATAATCCTGGCACATCCCATTCAGTATGGGAAACCATGTGTTTCACTGCAGATGACATCACCCACCGAAAGCTGGGGCTCAGGAGACAGGGAGAAAGCTGGACCCTTGCGTGCTGGCAAATCAAAAGACAAAAGGCACAGGCTGCTGGCTGGGACCCTGGTGACAGTGATGCAGCTCACAGCCAGGAGACCTGATTTTCAAAAGCATCTGAACCTTGGGATTTGTTTTAAAAGCAAAAGGAAGGCTTGAAAGTTGAGTGGAAGAAAAAAAGATGTAAGCACTGCCTGGAGCTTTTAAAAAAAAAAAAACTCAATGGTTGTGGGATTACAGCCTGGGCCATGTGGTGCCCCAGGCCACTGCCAGTGAGTATCATGAGAGTGCTGGGGGACAGGAGGAAGGGGATGATGGTAGATGCCTCAGAGCAGCTCTCAGAGATTCATCTGACTCTTGCCAAGTCCTCTCAGGTTAAGGAGGCTCAAACTAATTGGATTCTACCAATACAGAGACAGGAGCCTGGGGAGAGTGAAGAAGGAGGAAGACTGCCCTCTGAGTGGCTTCTTCCGCCCTGACCATTGCCTGGACTTGCTCAGTCCAAGCCGTGCATGGAAAGAACTCGTAGGGTCTTTGGTAGGGAGGGAAAAGGCCTCAGAATTCCCATTTGAAGGAGCGGTGTGGGTGGCAGAGGAGATGGTATAATGCTTCCATGCCCCCATGTCCCTGCAGCTTTCAGGGTCCCCAAGCAGTTACAGGAATTTCAGAGGGTCTGGCAAGGGTGATTGAAACTCCAGAGGAGGTCGGGGAGATGCTGAGCACAGCCTGCAGGGCTGAGGGTGAGGAGGGTGGTGGTGTGATGTCTGTGAGAAAAAGAATGAGAGCAGGGTGTAGACAAAGAGAGCCTAAGAGTGGGCCTGGACAAGAAGCAGCACTCTCGTCAGCCCCAGACACCAAGACTCATTGGAAAATACAGAGCAGAGATGGTAGCTGTTTCGGAGGCGAGGGATCACGGAACTGAACTTCATCACTTTCTACACCAGTGTACCAAGCCCAGAGAGTCTGAGTGATTTGTAACATCACACGGCAGATTCAGGGCTAAGATGTCTTAGCATGTTTTATGGTTCATTTCCTTTGCTTGGGTTTGCATGGTGACGGTGGCGATGGTGATGAGATGACCATGATGATGGTGGCAGAGATGAGGGAAGTGGTGATGATGATGGTGATAGTGATGGTGGTGGTGACGAAGATGAGAATACTGATGATAGTGACTGTGAGGTTGACGAGGTAATGAAGATGGTGATAGTGATGATGATAAAGATCCTGATGGCAGTAATGATGGTAATGGTGGTGATAGGTCATGATGATGATGTGGTGGTGAAGATAATGGTGATAGTCATGATGGTGATGGTGGTGGTGGTGGTGGCAGTGGCTACAGTGGCCATGGTAGCAGTAATGGTAATGGTGACAGCAGGAAAGGGGAAGCATGGCTCCTTGAAGACCAGATAGGCACTACAGGAAAGCTACATCTTAGAATGCAGTCACCCTTTCTTAACAGATCACTTTCCTTTTTAAATTGTGTGTGTGTGTGTGTGTGTGTGTGTGTGTGTGTGTGTGTGTGTGTACGTGTGCCATGGCATGTACATGAAAGTCAGGGGACAACTTTGGGGAATCCGTTTTCTCCTTCTACCACGCTGAGATGAGCCTCTCTTGTTTCTGCTGCTGTGCTGTGTACTACAGGCTGGCTGGCCAGGGAGCACTCAGACAATTCTGTCTCTGCCTTCGATTTTGCCAAAAGGATGCTGAGTTTACAGAGGAGAGCAACCGCATTCCCATTCGGCTTTTCCACACAGGTTCTGGGATCGAATTTCAGGTCATCAGGCTTGCAAGGCAAGCATTTTTACCCCCAAGCCATCTTTCTACTTTCCTACTGTCCCTACTTTCCTTTTTAGAATCACAGTTGGTCTCTATTAGTCTTTCTTAAGAAAATTCTCTGAACAGGGCCTATGTTGTTCTGTGTGGTACCTGTATACAGTGCCTAGGATGATCAGACCTAGTACTTGTCACTGGGGCTTCCAAATCTGGTTACTCTAGAACCTCAGGTTCAAGATCTGTCATAGCCATCTCTGCATCAGGTGCTTGATATTCATAACAAGCACTGAAGGAAAGATCTTTGGAACAAGAAGTTTCTGAGAGGAACAGGGAAATAAGAGCCCTGTGGCCTGGCCCACTGAGCTTTCCAGACAGGGCCTCCGAATCCTTCCAAAGTTCTACAGCCCTGCCTACACCTGCCCCGTCCCAACTCTGAGCACTGAGCTGGGCCAGGGAAACATGGGGCTAAGCTCTTCATGGATGAGGAAACTGGGGTTCAAAAACAGGAGGACTTGTTTCCCATGCTCACAGGCTGATGCTCAAACCCAGAACACTTCTAGGACTAAAAACCTGTCCTGCGTCATACAACAGCAAAAGGCAGATCAGATTAGTGTCTCCTCCTCCCATACACACCAATTCAAGCTGCCTCAGCCCTCATGGCTCAGTCAAAGGAATGACTCTCTAAAGGTAGATTTCCCTATTCTCCATGGGGAAACAGAACCAGATTCCATTCCCAGCACTGACCTCTCAGGTAGGGGTGAAAGATGAGGAAGAACAAATGGCAAAGGGCTACCGCCTGCTCTCTCATCCTATACCTGGGCTTCTACACCACATCCTCCTGAGGCTGCATCACCCACTACAGTAGCTCAAATGATTGACAGCTGAACCATCCTTTTCCAAGCAAGCCAGAGCTCCTGCCACAGCTACAGGCCTGATACCCTCTGCTCATAAGAATAACTGTTCGCTTCCAAGGCTCACCACTCCTAGAGCAACTGCGATGGTGTCTTTAGTAGACAGAGGGAGTTATCACAGGATGGCAACAACTTTATTACAAGGAGTCTTGACTTGAGGGAAGAGACGTGATAGGGAAAATACAACCCCTTAAAACCTTACCACGAGCTTAAAAATATTCAGGCAAGAGGGCTAGAAGGAAGTGGTTAAGAGCACTGGCTGCTCTTGCAAAGGACCCAGGTTCAGTTCTCGGAACCTACATGACAGCTAACAACCATCTAGTTTTCCAGTTCCAGGAGATTCTACACCTTCTTCTCACTTCCAGGGGTATTACAAGACACAGGAACACAACATACATGCACACAAAACACATACACATAAAATAAAATTTTTTGAAAAGAATATTCAGGCAAGAATATTCTTTGTTTTATTTTGGTTTTTTTTTGGTTTTTTTTTTTTTTTTTTGAGACAGGATCTCCCTGTAGCCCCAGCTGGCCTGGAACTCATTATGTAGACCAGGCTGGCTTCCATCTTACAGAGATCTACCTGCCTCTGCATTTTGAGCCCCACCCAGCAAGAATGTTTTAAAGATTTACTTTTATTTATGTGTATGTATGTGTACCTGTGTGAGTTTGTGTGTTTCCCTCATGTGTAGATGCCCTCAGAGGCCACAGGGCATCTGATCCTCTGGAACTGGAGTTACAGGTGGTTGTGAGCTGCCCAATGTGGGTACAAGAAACCAAACCTGGGTTCTCTGGAAGAGCAGTAAATGCTCTGAGCCATCTCTCTAGCTCCAAGAATGGGCTCTTTTAAGACTCTGGGTTGGGGGGGCGCTGGGGGGTTGCTGTTGTTGAGACAGATCTTATGTAGCCTAGGCTGGCCTTGAATTCACTGTGTAGTCCACAATGACTTTGACGCCCGATCCTCTTCAGTACTAGGATTACAGGAGTGTACCAACACACCCCATTGCTGAGGATCAAACTCAGGGTTGCAACTCTACCAACTGAGCTACTCTACCAACTGAGCTACATCGCTAGTCTCTGATATTGCTATTTTTTCCAAAACATTTTTAGTGTGTATGTATGCATGCACAGGTCAGGTCTGAGGACAATTTATGGGAATCAGTTCTCTCCTACCACCATATGGATCCCAGGGATCAAACCCCAGCCCTGCCTTCTGCATCCCACATGTCCCTGTGGGTACGAAGGAAAAGGAAGCCTGACCAGCAGCCTTCAGAAGCCTCCAAGGGAGCCTTCAGGCTTGGCAACAAAGGCCTTTACCTGCTGAGCCATCTTGCAGACCTCACCTTGTTTTATAAGACAGAGTCTCTCACTGGCTTAGAGCTTACCTAATTGGCTAAGCTGGCTGGCCAGAGATTCCCAGGGATCTGCCTATCTCTGGCTCCTCAGCACTGGGATTACAAAGCACATGCACCATGCCTGGTTTTTATACGTGGGCTCTAAGGATTTAACAAAAGGCCTGCAAGGCAACCACTCTACCAACTATACCATCACCTCAGTCCTCCCCTGAAAGGATTCTTATCCCCCTTCAAAGCCCAGCACATTTTACCACCCTCTATAAGAAGAGGGATCTTGCATAACTGCAAAGAGATACCATGAGGAGTCCCTGTGGGTGATGGAATTGGTGTCGATCTTGATCGTGATGGAGGTCACACACATGGTATGTGCTACATTCACTGAACTGTGGGCTGAAGAAAAATCAATTCCACTTGTGTGTCCGTTGAGAAAGTCAATTTGACAGAGAGAGAAAGAAAGAATATCAATGGCTGTAGCTAAATTGAATCCGTGATCACTCTGAGGTTCCAAGCATGAAAATCCTTGCCCTAGAATCTAGTGACAGTGAGATGGAGGACCGTCAGCCAGGGCCACTACTAGCGTTGGGATGGGGGGTGTAGTCTTCTGTTTCTAATCTGCATCTCTCCTTTCCACAGTCACTTCCTGCCTTGGACAGGACACATGGGATGGCTTAGGTAAGGAAGGGCCATGAGAAGGGAAGTGGGGTGGCAAAAGAGTCAGGTGGTGGCTCCGTGGGCTGTTTGAGGACATGGTCACCTCCATCAGTGTGAACCCCATCTCTTCAGACACACAGACATCAGAGACGCCAGTGCGCAGGCAGGTGGTGGCCCCCATGGCCATAAAGCACCATGAAAATGCTAATTCTTAGGATAACTATCATGTCCCTGGGCAGGAAACATACTGACCTTCAAATGCACCTCACTGTGATGAATTTATTTGGGGACAGATGCAAGGTCTTGTAAAGCCATCATGCAGATACAGAGATCTCAGCAGGCCCTGTATCAGGACCTGGGCCCTGCATGATGTCCCAGCTTCAGGCTCTAGCTAGTCTCTTGGTGTCTGAACCTCACTTGCCCACCTGTGAAGGAGGAGACATCAGCCTTGGGAGGACTCAGTGAGAAGCTTGCTGGGCCTACAGCTGGCAAAGCACCTAGAGATGTGAGTGTGGGGCCAACCCTCTGCATCTAGCAAATCAGGAGACTTCAGCTAGTCAAGTGACCTTGGCGAGCCCCAGCCCTGCCTTCTGCATCCCACATGTCCCTGTGGGTACGAAGGAAAAGGAAGCCTGACCAGCAGCCTTCAGAAGCCTCCAAGGGAGCCTTTTGTATTTTTTTAACTTTTTCATAAATAAGAAATACATTGGCTGAGCTCAAAGCTTTCTATGAAAAGATACTCTTCTTTCCATCTCTGTCCCCAATCTGTCCCTCCCTCCCCACACCAGCACCCCAGGTAATGACCATATTTCTTCCCGTCTTACATATCCTTGCAGAAGCTCTTTGTGCATACACACACACACACACACACACACACACACACATTCTGCCATTTTGTTAGTTTCTGTAGTGCTTGGGATGGAACTCAGGGCCTTGCATAAGTTAAGCACATACTCTACTACTTAGCTATACCCCAACCCCTATCCCATTTTTATTTCTTTTGTTTCTTAGAGAGACATGTAGCCCAGACTGGCCCCAAACTTGCCAAGGATGACCTTGAGCTCCTGAGCCTCCCGTCTTCACCTCCCATGTGCTGGGATAATAGGCATGCTCCACCTTGCCTGGCCCTAGAACATTTTATATACAGAACTTGAGCATCTGTGGATTCTGGTACCCAAAGGAGGTCCTAGAATGAAGGGCTCCTCTATATGATATATACCCACTCCCTATCATAGAGCTTAAAAAATTCACAAAAGCCACATATCTACCTATGACCTACAAATTCTACTCTGAGGTATTAACTCAAAAGAGAAGGAAATACAGCCCCCCCCACACACACACAGGCCTGCACATGCATGTTTATAGGCAGTTTAATTCACTGCAGGCAAACCCCAGAAACAGCACAGAGAATTTGTGGAAAAGAGCCAGAGCAAATTCACACAAAAAAATATTATCCAGCAGTTAAAAAAAGTGAACCACCGATCCACACAGCAGCACGTATAAGCCTCAAATATGTGTGGAAGAGACCAGAGCAAACGATGCTGTGTGATTCAGTTCTATTATAGACCCTGCAGAACAGCCAAGGCTAATCTCTCATGACAGAAAGCAGAGCAGTGATTGCCTGAGGCTGGAGTCAGGGAAATGAACTGTGGAGGAGCCAGCAGGAACCTTCTGGATGATGGACATGCTCCATATCAAGATTACAGTGGAGGCTTTGTACCCATAGACATTTGACAACTCCTACCAAAAAAATACCCTTAAAATGAGAGCATTTCACTATGTGAAAATTGTGCCTCAATAAAATTGATTTGTTTTTTTGTTTTTTTAAGACAGGGTCTCACATAGCCTAAGCTGTCTTTGAATGCTCTAGGTATCGAGGATGACCTTAAATTCCTGATCCTTCTGCCTCCACCTCCCAAATGCTGGGATTATACTCATGTACCACCACCACCACACAGCTAATATGGTTAATTGTAAACATTAAAACAAAAAGATCTCAGGGTAGGGAGGACTGGGGCAATAGCTCAGTCAGTAAAGTGCTTTCACACAAGTATGACAACTGAGTCCAATCCCCAGGACCCACATTTAAAAAAAAAAAAAAACAGCCAGGGCCTGTTTGTAATCCCAATGTTGGGAGGCTGAGACTGGCAGATTCCTGGGACTTGCTGGCAAGCCCAGGTCCCAATGACAAACCCTGTCTCAAAAAACAACAGGCATGGTGGCGCACGCATTTAATCCCAGCACTCGGGGAGGCAGAGGCAGGTGGATCTCT